TTCTGACTAGGGCTTGCGTGGAGCTGTGTTGGCTGCAGCCGACCTCCGATTTATCCAGGTCAGTTGACCGCCACGGAACCCCCAAACTCCAAACAAATAGGGCCTGTTGCGTCGCAGCGCGCCATCGGAGGTCTGTTGAGGCACGTCCAGCCCTCCCGGCAAAACAATGCCTCCACGCTGCTCTGGGCTGGTCGGCAAGCAAATTAGTTGCTCACCTACGCTGCTTGACCTCCGTGCACCCGCTCGGCTTCTAGGTGGTTGGCGGTGGGGGCGAGGCAGCAAACGCGCGCGTCGGCATCGATGGCTGAGCCTCATCCAACCTTCTTCCCGGCCGCTGCGCGTCGGCCCCCGCCTGCCCGGCCAGTCTAGCGGACACAGGCGCACAAATGGACAAACCCACAGGCCTGCTCGTCCAGGATCTGAAATTCAGGGCAAAGACCCGCAGCGCCTGCCAGCACTCCATGCGCTGCTCCATCTTCAGCAGCCTGTCCACGCCACCGCCCGCGGGGCCATTGGAGCTCGAGTTGGGCAAAGCTCAAAACACTGCAAAAAAGAAGCAACCCGGCAGCGCACTTTCGGAAACCCCTGTGTCTCACGCGTCGCCAGTCTTCCACAACCCCTCCCACATGACGCGCGTGCGTGCCTGCGTGCGCGCGCGCGTGCGGTGCGGTGCGGCGCGGCGCTGCGCCGCGCCGTGCACGCATGCCTGCGCGAGCGCGAACGCGCATGCGCAGCGCGCGGAAGGGGGGGGAGCCTGCAAGGGCGCGGACGTGTGCGGGTGGGTGGGTGTGGGTGGGCGGGCGTTGGGGGGGGGGGGGGGTTGTGTGGTGCGTGTGTGTGTGTGTGTCCTGCGCGCTCTCCCAGCCCATCCATCCGTCCATCCATCCATCTGTCTCCGATTTTTTCGCACGCTTGTGCTCTGGGACAATGGCTCGTTTTCCATCTTCGCAGGTTCTTCAGATGATGTGTCATCATGCGCTTGAGCTTTTTAGCTTCAGCCCGTAGTTGTGCTTCTGCACTATATCCTTCAGGATGTTTCACGTCTACTATTTCGCCCCCCTCCAGGCGCTTCGGCCTCCAGCGGGCTAGTTTGCATTAGATAAGAATACGCATGTCGTACTCCTGCCATCTACAACTACACCCATACTCAAAACATCTTCCCCCCATCAAGATTATCGAGCATGACCTAAAGATTCTACACGCGCGGCGACTCTGCCCTGAATCCCGGCAACACTCTTCGTCGTCTGCAAAGAGCCCTTCCAGCCATGAGTTGGGCGATGGCCTGTTAAAACTTAAAACGTCGTATGTCCCAGCCAGGTCGAAGACTCGAGGATCCAGGCGCTTGAGGCGTCCTGAGTCAACAAAGTCTAGCCCATTGAGCGGCACCTGTTGACGGTACTCATTCTGGCATTCTCCCCAAACATGGCGACGCGTAAGATCTGTGATTCCTGAGTTGAGGTCGTCGTTTATTCGTACTGATGTTGTCGAGGGCTTTGCCTTTACGACCCTGGGAAGCTCCAATGTATCATTGCCGCCTTCTTGGGCAGGCAAGTAATAAAAATCAGATCTGATGTGGCTGTAGGCGTTGCTAACAGCTTCCTTCATGTTACCTATCCACACTCGCAGCCCTGCCGCGTCAGGTAGTATATTTCCTAGCAATTCGTGCCCGCCATATGAACCTCCGCCGGTACCGAAAATGTTGGGTCAAACTTGCGACTGTCCACATGAGAGAGCACAAGTCGGGCGTGTGCGACATTCTCCAGGCCTGTGAAGGGCTTGGGTCGTCGCCTATCCATTTTGTGAGTAGTAAGACCTTTGTCGGGCATGAGTATGACTTGGGGTTCTGACCCCTGGGGCAGGCCACAACATCGGCCCTTAACAAACCCAAAGCTGCTTTCCCATCCTCTGCCCTGCCGGGTGTCTAGTGCAATAGAACGTGTTGCGAAACTGACAACTGCTTCCTCCAGGAAACAACGAGCTTCCCCTGCAAACGCCGCAATGTGGCCCATCAAGGAAACATTCCTCGCGCAGGTCTTCCTCAGGTCAGAAGCAGCGTGCGCAAACGTCGGCTTTGCAACCCTTGCGCACAAATTTCGGGCTTACCATGAGATCGGTCATCATCGTCATCATACTTCCATCGAACTTAGCCTTTGACGCGCTTTCCGCTCTTTTTCCGCGCGCAGGGCTTCGCCTATCCAGAAGCGGCGGGCTTCTCCAACACCCTAGATGGCGTGCGTGTAGCCCTGTGTGGGTCGTGTAGACCGCTGCTTGTGGCATTGCCGGGCATCCTGGTCTCACTCCTATGGCTCCTGCTTGCCACATAGGACCTCAAAAAGCTCTATCCAAACATGCTTGAGTTTCACGCTGACTTTCAACCGGTTTGAACATTCGTCTCTCTGGTCGACCTCGAAGTACTAGTTTACCAGTCACGGCCAAACGCGTGTCTAGCTCATCAACTATCGGACAGGAACTCGACACCTCCCTGGACTTAGGCAATGGTTCAGGAAGGGCGTATCACCTGATATGAGCTTTGCATGTTGGCCAGGCAGTTCCCTGACACATTTGCATAGCAGTGGACGCTGCTTGCGCACACGTGTTCACCGGCTGCAACGCCTATTGCAGATCGGTCGCGTTGCACATTCCGTCGCTAGTTGCGGGTAGATGGACTGGGATTGGCCCCTCCCGAAGATTGACGCGCCTCACGTTGGAAAATGCTTTGATTTTATAGGGAAGGGACATTCGCGTTTGGCTTACACGTCTGACCTGGAACGTTTGCTAAAAGCAGGGGTGCGTGGGTGACAAACCCAACCCGTCAACAAAAGTGCGTTCTTCCGGCGTCTTGTCCTATGTTTCGAGAGGCCAGGTTTACCGACGGTCTAGGCCTCGCACGCCCTTCTGTCACACTACTTGGATTGAGATGTTCAAGAGATAGTGGCGGTGTACACTGCTCGCTCCCAGAGCTCAAGTAGGGCCTCGGAACTGCGGGAACTTGGCCGGAGTGGCTTGGGTACCCCTTTTGAAGAACCAACGCCAGTGATATTATCACCTGACGGCCACACGGCTTTCCAGTCCAGCCAATCAAGTTCAAATGGTCTTCTCGCATCAGCAGCAAAATGCTACATACATCTCGCTTCCTACTGCTTGTTGGCTCGGGCTTGCCAATTTTCATCCACTCCAGAAATGATGAAGACGCAGCCCCCCGCGCAATAATGGGGTTTGGCATGATTAAACGCAACAGTTGAATCGCTCTGGTTAGGACGATTAGTCCTACGGCTCTCGGAGCGAATCTCTCCTGAGGCTCTAGATGCCCCTGCGCGTGTAGCACCGGGCCTCTCGGGCGACAACGCGTCGGAAAAGGGTTGTTGGGACAGTACAATTCGGTTGGCCAGCGATCCGGACTTCGCAACTCGCTGCGTCCAGGATCGCCTGGCCGAGGGAAGGCCCTTCGTAGTGTCCACCGTGAGGCCTACAAATACGTCGTGTAAAACGGCACCTGCAGGGTTGTTATTAAAAGGGGTTCGTGGCGCCAAGCGGGGACGAACCCTACAGCTGATAACCTGCGCAAGGGATTGAAACAAGGCCATTAAACGGACCCAGGCCCACCAACAAGAGGGCAAAGCGGTGCCCCCAGCTGGCGCAACAAGAGCCGAAAGGGTCGCTGAATAACAAAAGAAGAACAAGCCGAGCAGGGCAGAAAGCACGGCAAGCAGAGCAGCAGCACCAGCGAAGCGAGCAAGCAGAGCAAAGTGAGCACAAGCGGAATTCGCAAAAAAAGACCCAATGACCCACCTCCAGAACCACTGCCATAGTGCGAGATGGGCGCAGCGCCGTTGGTTCGGCTCCGATGAACGATGGCAAAGGGGTCGTGCCGGGAATAGAACTTGAGCCAATCTGCGCATTGGCCGAGGGCAGTTTTGCACAAATGCGACGATAAAATAATCATGCTCTAAAACCACAATTGATACGGATTATAGAAACGGAGACGGAGTTGACGGATAGGACAGGAAGGAAAGAAGCAAGAAACCACGGAAGGAAGGACAAAAACAAAGGAAATATGGATGGCGCGGCTGACTGCGTGACAGCAACAAAGAGACCCAATTTGGTGGTGGGGTTATCTCCAACCCGAAAAGCAAACGCCTAGCCCTCAACCAATCCTCAAGTAACCATCAACCAGCCCTCAAGCCCCCAGAGCACTAGAGCCCCAAAACCAAAACTTTAAGGCCCAAACCAACCCTAAACAAACTACGCCAATCCTCAGAGCTTCACGAGCGGGAATTCGCCTGTTTGGGCGAGAATCTACTCCTGTCGCGCTAACATGCCAGACGTCATGTCAACCGAAAACCGTCTTTACCTACCCTTGACGGAGTATCACTGCAGTATCACATACACAATGAACCCAACATCCAGCATCTTCCCTGCCGCCTCCACTAGCGAAGTCTCCGCTGCATCCACGGGCAATGCCTGTTTTTTGAAGTCATCTACCTCGAACTCCAGCTCCGGGGGACATGCCCAGCATGCCGAAGCGAGCGCGGGCGATCCCAACAGCTATCTTTACGTGCTATTTTCGGGGGGGGGGGGGGCCTCGGCCCAAAACAGCGCGAGGTATGCCAAGCGTCGGGTTTTGAGAGGCGCCAATTGATATACAAACATTTCCCTGTTCTTCGAAATAAGATCATGCGAGCCTCCCTGACTTCTGCATTGTTTGATGTTCCATGCATGCTTCAGTCATTTTGTGTCGGCTTGAGCTGTCGTTGTGCGACATCGGGTTACAAAAGACGGGCGTCTCAAACAACCAACATGACATGAACACAGTCTGGCAGAAATAGAGCCCACACAACGCCATGTAAGGAAATGCAGGGGCTTCTTGACATCGGCTCCCATTTTCTGGTAAAAATTGTCCTCTACACAAGCTTCTTGATCTGGCACAGCTTTGATGGTGGCTCAGTCAGTCGGATTTGCAAATCATGGCGCATCAGTCCATCCCGATCTCAGCGCTGCACGCCAGGCCCACTACGCCCAGGCTCCGCGCGCATTTCATCATGGCGTCATGGCGGAATGTCTAAAGGGTCTCATCTGCGAAACGTTTGCTTGGATTCCGTGGCCAGGTCTCAAAAAAGTAAACAGAGAAAAGACAGTAAATGGGAACCTGAGAATGGTTTCGCGCCGAACGATTGTCATTGCATCTCAGCCTGTCACACAGGCCTAGCTCTTGTCCCTTGCCCGGATGTAAAAGTGCGATCAGCTTCTCACATTCTTTGTGCCGCAGTCAAGAACTTACTAACTATGACGTTTTGGATTGAGTAGGCTAAAGGTACTTCTGTTCTGGTATGTGTTAGCAGCATGTGAGTTTAGGTGAGTGAGCCACATCCTCAGCACAACTCGGCTCTCGCCTGCCCAGAGTTGTGGTGGCGTCACGCTTGCCACTCCTCTGCCATCTTTTTGCAAAGGGAGGACATGACGTGCCTTGGTTTGCATGCGGGCAGCTTCAGAACTTAAAGAAAGCTCAGCAAAGCAACCGCGTACAACAGTGTCTCAAAACTTGGAACCCTCTGACGCTTGGTACCGAGCTTGTTTGCAAGGAACCGACATAAAACCCGCCCTTTGCTGGGGTTGGCACATAAACATGCCCAAACAATGTTTCAAGGCAGTGGTGTTCATAGTGATTGCACTTTCTTTTTTTGGGCTTGCATTCGTGCAGGCTGCCCCAAGCAGGCTAATCAATTTTCACCCGGCTTAAAGCTCCCAAACGTTGACGGGAGCTGGCCTTCCAGAGATTGCAAGTACATTTTTTGTTCAACAGAGATCTTTTGCAAGGGTCTTGCAGAGGTTCTCCAAGGGATCTGCAAAGGTCTCGCAAAGAAGCCTGGGAAGATTTTGCACACAGACCTTGCAGAGATTCTCCACAAGATTAGATCTCGCTTAACATCTTGCACAAATCCTTTAAAAGATGTGCTTTGCGCTGATCAGCTGGAACCTTGTGCGGTACGTGACAATATTTGTGGCTCACGGCAAGCCGGGACATGGCGCATTCGAAACTCAAGAAAGCCGTGTTGGCAAAACATACCTCTGCAGGACTTGTTTGTGCGGTTGTCGGTTCGTCCTGGTGCATAGGAGTAGGCAACGAAAAGACGCTTTCCAACAAGAACTCCCATCTCATGCATTGGAAGATCTAATCGTGCGGACATCGGGAGGTCTGATCTCTGCATGGATCTTCTTGCTTCGCACAAACGCCCGCGAGCTGCCGACGCCTCTACCTCAAGTCGGGTTCACAAGAGTATGAGTCGCATCATGTTTAATCGGTTGGGCCCGTTGACATTGGGTGAACATGGTTGGGACATGGCTGAATTTATGACCACCTACCGTTCTGCAGGGTGTTCCCCGTTAATATCCAGAGCCACATCGTTATGCTTCTACGTCATCGTTAAGTGGAAAAGTGACCTTGGGCCAACTGCGTCTGTCAGATCATGTGAAATTGCGTGTCTCCGCTTTGGGCATGTGCTTACTTCTGGGCTTGTCTCTAAACTATGGGAATCGGACAGTTTTCCTGCGGTTCAAAACCGCCTGAGCAGGCCCACCTTCAACAGACACGCCCAAGCGGCAACACTTGTTGGTGATTCGTGGGAAACCTTACATTGACCGGAGCCGTGAAAGGTTACAGGCCCAAGAGCCAACAAGCCGCCGCCTTTGAAAGTTGATGCTATGGGCTGCCTTTTCTCCAAACTGCAACTTTCGTGCGGCTGGCATGCAGCACATGTCTGCGCCTTGTCGAAGAAGTAAAGGAGGCCAACCTGCCGTCAAATAGGCAATAGCTCAGGATTAAAGAAGAAAAGCCAAAAAACAACAAGAAAGCAAGGGAAGCAAACCAGCAGGTAATCAAGAATCAAGAAAGCAAACAAGCCAGAAGGCAAGAATCTCGCAGCAAGAAACACTCTAGCTGTGCAGTGGGCGGGGGCCATTGCAGCCAACATTGTCGGGCAATTTGCAACCACTCGCCGGCCGAACGCTATTCGCGCGCGCAATCTTCTGCACATCAACCGTAAGAACTGCCAAACGAAGCCTACCATCTGGGAATCCTTTTCCGCGCTGTCTACTATTCAGATTCACATTGAACTCCAACCAATGGAATCAAATGTTTAGGAACGGATCTCTCTTTTTGGGCTCCGTGCAAATTTGCCATGGGAGTCTGAATCAAAACCCTGTATTGATGTGGTCTGTCCAGAACCATGTGGAGAAATAAGACGGCGGCCGCAGGAATTTATGGTTGGGGGTTTTGATGTGGCTGAGGCAGCAAAGGAACCTCTAAAGCATCCACGACCAGCACCTCAAACTTTTGAGCACCATGGGCAAACAGCTGCCTTCATACCCGCCATCTCAACGTGCTTGTTTGCCTGCGCACGAGGACGTTACACAAGGCTTTAGCAATGGTTGGGTCGCAGTTCTTCATGTCGTTCTATTCGACCTGGGTAGGTTTAGGGTGATTGGGGTTCGTTCAAGAGGTGGATCAAGTTTTGATTTGTTCCTCCAATGCCGCCATTGTCGAATCTTCCAACCCGCGCCGCGCAAACACTAGTATAACACCATTGCACCTGATTCATTTGTTTGTTCGCAGGGAAACACGAGGGGAAGTAGTTGGAAACGCCAATAAATGCCAGGGCTCTCCGAAATCCAAGACTCAACCAGCCTGAGCCGCCGCGGAAAAACACACACATCATAGCTTGGAAAAAAGATGCTGAGAAAGTACCGCAAACGAGGGCGACAAAGCAATAAACAACGGAGCTAGCTGATTTGCTCTTTCCGCGGGGGCGGAGCGCCGTCCCTAACTTCTAGCCTTGGGGGTTGGTCGTCTTCTGGAAGCGCGGGGCAACCCTGATTGAATGATCATCAACATGGGATGCTGTACTACGTTCAGCTGAATACGCTGTCATCGTGCGCAGTCTCTTGCAGGCGGGCTGCCCGACTTGAACACCTACAAATGTGCCGGGGGGGGGTGCCAGCCAAAACCACGTGCTTGACCAAACTTGATAAACAAAAAGAAAACGTGTTGAACTCAGTACAAAGTTCAACTCCTGTGCTTGACAAGAGTAACATCAGCGAGCGTGAGATTCCCAGAAAGCAGCAGCGGTTGGCTTGAAACCACGGACGGAACCTCTACTGTCAAGATTGTTTGTTGGGCATTTTTTTGCAGCCAGGTCGAATAACGGCACATGGGAGTTTCCAAAGCTCGAGGGCAGTAAAAAAAACCGATCCCTCCGATCTTGCAAACACTCATTCCCTGACATGAGGTTCATGCCGCAGCTGCCTCAACGTTCTCCATTCTCTTGACGTAGCTCAGAAAGTCGCAGCTCTGACGTGAGGCGCGTGAGCGGGTGGCCAACGAGCGTGCATCTCTGATGTGACGCACGTGACAGCGTGCGCTTATTGTGCGCCAGCGTGCGTGCACTCAGATGCGATGCGCGTGAGCGGGTGCGCTAGCGTGCGTTTAGCTCTGACGTCACGCGCGTGAGCGAGCAGGTGTGCCGGGGTGGAAGCCACTCGGACATGCGGGTGGGTAAATACCTGGTACCTTGCCTGGTCGAAGTGTTTGAGCACTTCCAGGACCTCTTCGTCTAACACAGCCTCAGGCCCAGGCGTCCAGCACGCGTGCGGGTTGTCACTAAACGGTGGACCTGAGTCTCTGGATTTATTTCTGGCAAGAACGTGGTGTATGGATTGTAGGAGCATGGTTGATGTTCTGGCGCTGAACAAAGCACTCAGCTGATCCGGTCTGCTGAACGATGACCTTTCCCTGGCTGTTGTCCTTCTCTGCAATGGTGGCCGTCCCTGCTGAGGAGGATAAATCGCTGATTTGAAGAAGTAATCATCGTATTCTTGTTTGGCGACACCTTCTTCTTCGGTACATGATGTAGGGGATGTCGAGGCCCCTCATCCATGCTCTCATCAATCTCCATCTCCGCCTCTTCTTCCTTATCATACTTGCAGCGCCCTGACGATTCTGATTTGTCATCCCAGTCAACGTTCTCTACTTCCAGTTCCACCTCATCATCATCATCTTGGAGATGCGGGTCTTCACTGGCCTCTGATGTAAGCGCCGGGAACCCTTCTACTCCTGTCTCCTCGGGTTCAGGTGCGCGAGGCACGTCTCTTACTCAAGGATGTTGGCACTTCGGAGTTCCTTGGAAGCCATCGAGAAAAGTGGCAGGTCAGCAGGTCTTTGTAGCCAATTTGCATACAAGATCGTGAAAGTCAGAATGGTTTGAGTGGCCAAGCGGGCTGCGGACAGAAACGCAAACGTTTCGAGTTTCACGCACGGTCATGCGAAGTTGTCAGCGCGTCGGCGGCGTGACGCACGCACGCCCGTACGCCCCGCTGTGCGGGGCAATGATGTCCGGACCGTGTGCTGTATTTCGCGCAGGCCAGGGACAGTGGATGTGCGTCACGATTCAGTGAGAACTGCCTTGATCAACTCGTCTGCTTTGGCTGAGCTTCGTCAAGGACTCAGCAAGGTTCGGCTGATGGGTCGTTGACGCTGTTGTTACAAGGTTAGTTGCATCAGTTCTGATGTGTACGTCTGCAAGTTGTACATGTAGTATCTGACCCAGAGACAGCGAAGAAAAAAGACGGGCCAAGACAACTCATGACAGACCCGTGTGGGTGTGAAGTTCAGCAACGGTCGTTGAGATTGCGGCTGCTGTGGTCTTGTTTGTCTCGTAATCGACCAAAGGGCCGCTTGAGATCGATGGGCCTTTGCGAAGATCTCGTTCTTCATCAAGAAAGCAACGATGACTTAACCTCATGGTTGGTAGGACGCATCAGGGCAACCAAAAAATTTCGCTTTCGTGAAGTGGCGAGAGACGCACACTGAGCGGCACACTCTTGGTTCTGACGGTAATACTCTTCGTTCTGACGGTCTTTCTGGTGGCACCACAATGGTCAGCGATGCTGCTCTTGACGCGCAGCGCGAGAACTGATAACCAAGGTCAAACTGAGTTGGCCGCTGCAACCAACCCATCCGACCCCATATGGTCCTGTAGGTGGTATGCATCTGCAGTGTTAAGGGTGTTGAGGGAGTGCCATCCTTCAGGTTCTTGTCCAGGATGATCTCCTGAAATCCATCAATGGCAACACTCTGATGGGCATCGATACGCCAACCGTGATTCCCACCTTTCTTCTACTGGACGCGTTGACCTACGAGAAGGCAGTCATTCTTAGGTTCTGAGGCAACTTGGAAGTCTTTCATCGTCCCACGATCTCCTCCTCAAACTCATTGCCACCAACTATAAGAAGATCATCAACATGAAGAGAGAGAGAGAGAGAGAGAGAGAGAGAGAGAGAGAGAGAGAGAGAGAGAGAGAACTCCATGAACTTGTCTATTCTGGGCATTGTTTCCAGAAACAGGAACCAACGGCTTTTTCAAACATTTTTGTGTTTTTCATGGTCGGCGCTGGTCGAGGAGGAGTCTTACTAGGGCGCACATATGTACACTGGTATGCTCTTCTAGGCACAAGTCCATAAGACCTGAGTCAGGATTCTTTTCCGCGCACCAGTGTATGATGGATATCGCATTTCAGGAGGGACCTGGCAAATGACTCATGTGGCTGGGTTGTTCGGATTTTCTCTCGACGAGGAAGCTGGATCGTTTCTGGGAGAGTCAGGTGTCTGGTTATTTGGTTTCTTCCCAACCTTTTACTTCTTCGGAGGAATGCTCTGTAATTGAGGTTCCTGTGTTCTTCTTGCTCAAGATCAGGCAGTTCGAATCACCTTCGTGGCACCACAACAGTCGGCACAATTGGCCGTGTGGGGTGTGGCGGAGTCGGCGAAGAAACATCACCGGCGATTGAACTGCTTTTGGCCATTTGTCCTGTGGCTTAGGTGTGACATACTGGGTTGGCTGGCGCCCTAGGATTGGCTGATCCGGCGGGTCCGGTCTTGAAACCTCATCATCCGTGGTGATGGACGGCGGCTTGACAGGCGCGGCCTCTGTGCCTGAGTTGTGAACTGATGAACACATGGTTGCATGCCGCTGTCTTGCATCAAACTCAGCAACTTTTGCCCGTGACATCAATTGGCCCAACGACGCCAGAAACTGTCCATTCCTGAATCGCCACTTGACCAGCTCTGCTGCTCGCAGTCGAACCACAGTCGCCACGCGCTTGGCTGGGCCGAGGCGGGCAACGCGCCGCGTTGTCTCCGGCTTGAAAAGCCTATGGGCTTGCCGGGGCTCCAAGAGCGAGCTTCATATTGATAAGGCAGTCCTTGTGATTGTCTCCAAGCAACTGTGCGATGCACCCGCCCGGCCTGCTGCAGCCAAGCCATGCCAGTTGAAAAGAGGCAGCGAGTCAACTACGCCATCGCGAAGGAAAGTATGGTAACTCAGAAGATTTAAGTTTTTGTTGCCCCCTGGGGTAAACAGTCTCAATGTCGTTTGGGATGCCCTGGCCAAGTTCAAGGATGAAAAGAAGATTCTGTGACATGCTTCGCAACCTCCGTTATCGCACCAAAGTACGCAGTGAGTCGGGACGAAAAGCTTGCCTTCAAGCCTGCCGAGCGACTTGCAATCAAAATCCCCGCTTGGCGCTGTCCGGGGTGGGATACGTGGGAGATAGCTGATAAGGATAAGCCTGCAGGTCCCTTGCGATGTACAGATGTGTCTCAGTAAGGGTTTCTTTGCTGGGGCAAAGGGCTTTCCGTAAACCCCTAGATTTTCAAGCCAAGTACGCGCCCGTCCTTCAAGTCATGGAGATCAGTATGGTTGTGAACTTGTCCAGCTTGACTGGCGCCTGTGTCCTGGAGAGCCGGGGTCTGCTAAGAGATGGCATCACGGAGAAGCTTGCTTGCACTTGACACTTTGCTGATGAGAGTGAACACGCTCTCTTGGGCCTCATTGATCGTCTCAGCCAACTGCACGTGCTTCCGATTCCGACGAACACCGCTCCCCAACACCACGCCTCCACAATGGTAGAAAAGGTAGCGCGAAGCTGCAGGTCAGCATTCTCATTAGTGACCCCGCAACAAGGCCCTTTCTGGGCCATGGAAACCCGGAAGCCGAGCTGAATTTGCGTTGAGAAAGAGGCCCCCTTGAACACATGCTACTTTCCAGAGTTTAGACGCCCGTGTTTTCAGAAAGGGTGACCTGTCGGCCAACCTTCTGCAGCCACACGCGGGCTCCGGCGCCTCGCGCCCCAACCGGCTGCTTGACTTGAGCCAGCGGGGTCCAGGTTCATGCACAGAGAAACAAAGACAAAATAATACAACACAGAAGAAGATTAATTTCTCCAAGAGGACTTGGGAATATTGAGACAGAACCCGTGGCATTAAATTTGGGGTGTCCCCCCACCAAGGGTTGCCCAATAAGCCCCCCCATGCTAGGGGCCAATAATGAATACCTTGCCCCTCTTCCAAGAATTGCAACTGCAAAGCTGCACAACACTCTTGTCAAACAACTCCCTGATTACAGGTTACCGACCTTAACCGTTCTACGGTCAGAGGGCATCTTGTCCATTCCTGTCAAATGATGAGATTCGCGCACATGAAGATCAAATGGAACAAAAACAAACCTTGAGTATGGAAAATTGAAGGTGGCCACTTGTAGAAAGTGTTCGGGGAATATGTGGCTGGAAAGATTGGCAGTGTGGGGTGGTAGTTTTGTTTATAATTGTGTTGGTTTAGGCAGACACGGTGCGATTGGTTTATTCTTCGTGTTTGACTTCTTTTTTGAAGCCTTCCTTTCGCCAGAGCCGCAACAGCCTTCAAGTACAGGTGTCTTTTTCTGTTGCTCATATCACCTGCGAGCAGCAAGCCATGGCTTTTTTCTCGCGCTGCCAAGCAAGGTCGTCAGCAAGCAAATCCGTGTCAGACGTCGGGGGTTCCTGCCGTTCTCACTGGGACATCCACCTGGCAAATAGCGAGTGGATGGGGCTGAAGAAAATGCAGTTAGGGGCAAATCAATGAAAGAAACAAGGACAGCTTCATGCATTCACTTCTCTGCTAGTTGCTTGCTGCCATCTTTGAGCGACAGGCGCAGACCCTCGCAAGAGACAAGAGCTGCACGAGTGACACGGATATTCACCTAGGCCTGGACTAGTTTAAAATGCAGTATCTGTGCAAGGAGGCGGCGCCAAACTCAATCACCCATCAGCGCTCGGGTGTGTAAGCAAACCGTTGTGTGGAAACATCAGTTCAAGAACCGCTGATCCACGTTTCTGCAGCTCGCAGAAACTCAGCGCATGCCTTTTACGAGCTACACAGTTTTCTGTTCAGATCGTTGGCCGAAAGCCTTTGTCTACCTAGGTTTTGACGTTTGGGGTTGTCTCCAAAAGGGGGCCATCGTCGGGTGGTCTCCCTTATGCCCTTCAAACTGGGCTTTCGTCCTGCGAGGTCAAGATTTCACTTTATGTGCAGCTTTCTATCAGCCAGAGTAACCAAGTAGTAGAACCAGCTACTAATTAAACTTGCCCATTCCGATTTAGACAGCTTTGTCTAAACAGACCGGCTGGACCCAAGTTGCTTGTCTGAAGCCTGCGCGCACTGTCGGTGATTGCAAGGCGCAGTCCCTGGTAGGGCGGCACGATGAAAAGAGGGAACGCCCAGATCATACAGAAATCCAACTCAATTGAATGTTTTTTTGGGCGCAGCCTTTTGGACCAAGAAGCCCAGCATGTTTGCGGGCGCTTACCCACATTTGCCATCCCCAGTTGGGTGGGGTTGCCTCAAGCCTCACGGCAGCCAAGGTGATGTTTTGCGAGAAAGAGCTCCAAGAAATGTTCGAACGAACTTTGCGAAATGCCTGGTCCACAGGATTTGTCCAAGGCAGCTTCTCTTGTCATTGAGCCTGCGCTGCCTGCAGCATTTCCGACTTGGCCACTTGCTCCTGGCAAGTGGCAGCATTCTCCCCGGCTTATCTTTTATGTTGAGGACCATTTCCAGGGAAATCCTACAAGCAGCACGGTTCTTTCCAAAAGCCTTCTTTTAGGACACAACAGCATGACCCGGGGCCAACTCTGTTCCGTCGCCTGTGTCTGACGGAATGGGTACGTTTGTTTTGCGCTTGGGGCAGCGCACAGAGGTTGCTGTTGCGCTTTTGGTTCCTTACGTCATAGGTCCGGAAAACGCTTCAGGATTTGGCAGGGCGCAGGGACCCGGCTGTCCTTGGAATGTAAGGTCGAACTATCGCAGAGTTCACCCTAGACCCCGCACGGCGGGCCGACCCCGCCCCGCTCCTCCGCGGCTGCCTGGGCCGCCCGTGCCTGAATAGCATCGGCCTGCGCCTGCGATCAGCTGCCGACATCCAAAGCTCGAGGAAAAGGGTTCAACTTTTGAAGGGTTGAACTCTACGAACCCCTCTTTACAGGATCGTCTGAATATCTTCCTTGTTTTTGTGGCTGAAGCTTGCAACTCATACTTGTCTAGAACCCGAATTGACCATAGGGAACTGAGAAAACCGCTCAGAAGTGCTTCTCTCAAAAGAATCGTAGAGGGTCCTTCCGCTGGAGTTTCGCGCTACCTTACAAAACGAGTTTCATAAATATTGTTGCGGTGAAGCTTGTGCCGAGAACTTTGCGTAGGGAAAGTTTGCGCAAAGAACTTGCACAAATAAAGAGCTTGCGCAGACACGCAAACAAAAATATTCAATGGAGAAATGCACAGAGTAAAGCGCGTCGCTAGCCGTTGTGTGCAGGATTTGATATATCGAACCTGCACAGGGAAACGCGGCGGGGAAGTTGACTGGCAGGGTCAAACACGTTTGCGTAAGAAGCGTGCGTAGGGAAACTTGCCAGATAGTTTGTAGAAACCAATTGACAACGAGAAGATGCATTACAAAGCAAACTTCATGTTTGCAACACAACAGGAAAATAATTTGCGCACAACTTGCAGGTTGGTCTTCTGGCGCGGCGCGGCCTGAACATCAAGACTCCAAAGGCTGGTCAAAACTGCGTGCTTGCCACAGATTCCTTCAGCTACTTGCCAATTTTTACACAGGGCAAAAACCATAGTTATTTAAGAAGACAGCCTTCGCGCGCAAAACCAAAGTGCATCTTGTCGAAATGCAAACGGCTACACGCGAGGCGTTCCCGAAACTTAGACTATGTAGCACACTTGCCAAGAGAGGGCTTGCGTACATAACAAACCAAAACATACAACGTGGTCTCGTTAATTGGTATAAGGGGACTTGCAGTCAAGGTTAGCAGTTGTGTATCTAAGATAACTCGAACTAACTGTAAATACCTAAAATGAGAAAACTAACTAAAATAAACAGAAATAACTTTTTAGACGTCTTTCTTGCACTTTTTTCAGAAGCGACAAACTACGGAAATCGCAGCAAATTATCGAGTTTGTGTAAACCGCATGAAAAAACTGCGCAGCTGACAGTCCGTAAAATTTGTGCGGGCATGGAAACACCTGCATAATTAACGCGGCGCCGCCGCAGGGTCGCGCATCTCGCGGAAAAAGCGGCAAAGGGATTCTGTGCTCATGCTGGTCGCTTTCCCGGTGTTTTTTCGGGCGACGGGCCTTTGATTGTGGCCAGGTTTCAGGTGGGCGGTTTGGCCTGCTACTGCGGACTTCTGCGGCGAGTTTTTGACAAGCAGGAGTCCATGCAGCCTGCGCTTCGCAAGCGTGCTAATTGATTGGGCGGCCGGTCATTCGAATTGTTTCTTGGCATGTGTGTTTGTTGAGTATCTGCGGCGAATTCCCACGCGCTTCACTACTTTTATTACAAACATGCTTGCAAGTGAGTTGAAGGCTCCCAGGAAAAATATTGCTGCTGAAATGCTCGGCGTGAAAACCCTTCGTTCATATAAATAATGTTATAGACATCACATGTGAAGTGAAGGCTCCCGTGAAAAAATCCTGCTGCTGAAATGGTCGCCGTGGAAGCGCCTGAGACATCACGTGCGAAGTGAAGGTTCCCATGAAAAAAACTGCTGCTGAATGTTTCATTCTACTGTGAAGCGAAGGCTCCCATGAAAAAATCCTTCTGCTGAAACGCCTGCCGTGGAAACCGCTGCGTGCCATTCTACAGACATCACATCTGAAGTGAAGGCTCCCATGAAAAATGCTGCTGCTGAAATGCTCGCCGTGGAAACCTGCGTGTTCCGTTCTACAGACATGGCTGTGAAGTGAATGAAGGCTCCCATGGGAAAAAATCCTGCCGCTGAAATGCTCGCCGTGGAAACGCGAAGGTTCCTTTTTTGTAGTGATGGCTGTGAAGTGAAGGCAAGGCTCCCATGAAAAAATCCTGCTGCTGAAACGCTCGTCGCGCAAACCCTCGCCAGTAGACAAGTCTGCAGAGCCAGCTTCTAGCTGCAGCAGCCCACTGCAGGTACGCTTGCCATGAAACTTGGCGCGCAGTCGGGTTCAGCAGAAGCAGCTGCCCAAAAAAACTGGCCTGGAGAAAACTGGCCCAGCCAAATGTAAAAAGCTCACGCAAAGGCTTACTGGTTCCACGAGGCCTTCCGGGCAGCACATGCTGCACGAAGCTTTGGTGTAATCTGCTTGCTTTGTTCTGCGAAGTAGTCCATTTTGCCTTCCACCTTCCCCCTTTCGGCTGCGACAAATTTCTTCTGGCCGAGATTTTGTTTTTGACTCCGTTTGTTTTTTTTGTAGTCTCAGGATTTTTCTGGACATGGGCTGCTCTGCAGGAAACACGCGGCACGTCGCGGCACGTCGCGGCACGTCGCGGCACGTTCCACGAAAAAAAGGGATTATATATTTTTGAGCCAACTGAAACACACAAGCGCCGCAAAAAGGTACCTGGTAGAGCTGCAGCTGCGCGGCCGCGCCATGAGCTCGAAGACCCCGCAGACCATGCCAGCTGACACCGCGGCAGTGGACGCTGAGGATGCGCCACCTTGCGGATGACGGTGGATCCTCCTTCTGCATCTTCAGCTTCAGGTGAGGGAGTGGTGTGCGCCAAGTGCGTCATGGCACTGCGTGCAAGCCAAAGCACCACCATCGCATGCGCCTTCCGCTGCAAGCTTCTCACCTGGGAGTGGTTTGCGGATGTGAGTCCATGGAGGCCAAGCATCGCGTCTTCAAGAACTGTGTTGCGGACAGGGTCAGCCAGTTTGCGGGCGGAGGCATTCCCGCGGATTCTCTGCCGCGCTTGCTGCTCTCGCATGTGCACGAGCTTGATCAGCATGACGTCTTCCAGCTGGGCCTGCAAAAGCCGACGGAGTGCTCAGCCCCGCGGCAGCACTTGCCGCGCGGGGATCGCAGCGTGCCTCTTGCAGCCAAAGAGGCCCGCTTGCCGCACGTTTCGCTCGCTTGCGGCGATGCGCTCGCATGCGCGACGAAGCTTGCGTAGTGCGAGCTTGCTGCGACAACGGCAGCCTTCTCTTCATCGTGCAAGAGCTGCGCTTCGACCCACGCATGCACCTGGCGGCTTTTACCCTTTTTTCTTTCTAAACCACATGTGTTGTTGCAAGTTGTAAGCATGCTTCACGCATGCCTGCGTTGTAAGGCGCGCGCGTCAGATGGTGCGTCGTGGTGCTCCAACGTGAAGACCGTGACGGAGCTGTGCGTCCGGGAGGCTTTGCACCCGTGCTGGTGGCTGTGGGAGACGGATCAATCTCTGCTGCGCCTGGAGTAAAAAATGGTGCTCGCGCAGCCATGCCGCGTAAACAGCACGGCTGTATACAATGACATAGAACGTGCACAATTCATGTAAATATATGGATATATATATATATATATATATCTATATCTATATGTATATATATGGTCACACCCCTCCCCATGAACTACCTCTGATCTACAAATCATAAGAAAAGACTGTAATTTACGGTGTTTTGTGATGTTTTTATGCTGGATACAGCCATAAATGATCGAATGGTTTTTGACGCCTCAAGTTGATGATTTTCGTCTTGGCTACGTATCTGGTTTGACACAAAAACTTGAAAATTACAAAAACACTGAAAATTACAGTGTTTTCTGTAGATGGTACCTACCACACCTTGTGAAAACTGCTGCAAAACCTAGGTTTTGTGCGAATTTCACTGTTTCATGGATTTATAGCAACATTCAATAGTTTGTCTACAGTTTTATACTATGTTTCAGCTGAACTCATAGAAGCCCAAAAACCCTCGAGAAAACCAAAAATCCAAAAATCCAAAATTATGAGACCTATGTTTGGTTTGGGCTAATTTTTTTGGTTTTTGGTTTTCTCAACGTTTCTTGTTTTATTGGGTTTTCGTTTGGTTTTTTCTAGATTTTTGACAAAAACAAAAAACGGAAATTTTGTTTTTTCTATGTCATGGCCATAAAAATCCAACAAAAACACAAGATTTTTTGTTTTTACGAGGTATGTTACCCAGAAAACCAAAAATCCAAATAAACCAAGGAAAACCACAAAAACAAAAAACATTGGGAAAACAAAAAACAAAAAATGAGCCCAAACCAAACATAGGTCTCATAATTTTGGATTTTTGGATTTTTGGTTTTCTCGAGTTTTTTTCCCGAAAGCATTGCGAAGGGCTCTTCCGTGCGGAGCTCTTGGTCAACTTGCGCGGAGTAGCTTGCACAGAGTCACCAGCGTGGAGATGCCAGCATGGAGATACTTGCGCAGAGTCACCAGCATGGAGATACTTGCGCAGAGTCACCAGCATGGAGATACGCATGGAGCCAAGTGCGCAGAGCGAAGTGCAAAGAGCGAGGTGCAAGGAGCCAAGTGCACAGAGCTAAGTGCACAGAGCCAAGTGCAAAGAGCGAAGTGCAGCGAGCCAGCTGCATAGATAGAGCCAAGTGCATAGAGCTAGGTGCATAGAGCTAAGCTAAGCTAGGTGTAGAGGCTCGGCGGTAGCAGCTGTGTAAGCTAGGTTAAGTAAGTTAGGTTAAGTACTTAACGCGCGGGAAAGAAAGAGAAAGAGCTCCGTCTTAAGAATCTCTTTTAAGGCGGGGGGTGGGGATGTTGCCGACGATCGGGAATGCGACCCTCTGCGGGGATCGGCGTGGTCGAGGTGCAACAACTCGAGTTTTTTTGTTTTAACCGTTTTTTGCGGCGCCCGCGCGACCCTCTGCGGAAAAAGCGTGGTCGAGGTGCAAAAAACCGAGGTTTTTGCGTTTTTTGATATGCCCGTGCGACCCTCTGCGGGGATCGGCGTGGTTGAGGTGCAAAAACTCAAGTTTTTTGCGCTTTTTTGATATGCCCGCGCGACCCTCTGCGGAGATCGGCGTGGCCGAGGTGCAAAAACTCGTTTTTTTTTGCGTTTTTTGATATGCCCGCGCGGCCCTCTGCGGAGGTCGGCGTGGTCGAGGTGCAAAAACTCGA